CTTCATCAGATACATGCAGTAGGAAAATAACAGTAGGTATGGTGTGTGTGTGTGTGTATACATACACACACACACACAAAGAACATGAAAAAATGGGTGTTGCCATACCAACTCTAATGAGACTAATCAATTAAGGTGGGCTATTATCAGGAGAAAAAAATGTTTGTAGTGATAATCAGGATGGCCCATTTCAAACAGTTGACAAGAAGGTGTGAGTAACAGTAGGGGGAAAATTAGCATGGGGAAATAGTTTTTACTTTGCGTAATGACCCATCCGTTCCCAGTCTTTATTCAAGCCTAATTTAATGGTGTGCAGTTTTCAAAATAATTCCAGTTCTGCAGTTTCTTGTTGGAGTCTGATTTGAAGTTTTTGTTGTTGAAGAATTGCAACTTTTAGGTCTGTAAGTGAGTGACCAGGGAGGTTGAAGTGTTTTCCAACTGGTATTGATTAGTCTTGTTAGAGTTGTTATGGCAACACCCATTTTTTCATGTTCTATCTATCTATCTATTGTATTTTCCACTGCATGCATCTGATGAAGTGGGCTTTAGACCAGGAAAGCTTATGCCCAAATAAATTTTAGTCTCTAAGGTGCCACACGTACTCCTCATTCTTTTTGCTGATACAGACTAGCACGGCTACCACTATGAAATCTGAAAATGCTAGTGGTGATTGCAGCTCTGTTTGTACACAAGGGGGCAGATCCCCGGCTGGGGTAAATTGTAATGGTCAAGTCATAGCGGACTGGGAGGCTCTGCCCACAATTTGTAAAGGTGCCTACATCTGGTTTTGCTCGATGTTAGGTGGGTTCGGTAGTTAGTAATATAGCAATCTCGACATTTCTACAAGTTTATTAAGAGTTAGTTCTCTTTTGAGACGGGACAGGAAAAGTGAACTCTGGTCAAAAATCAATCTTTTTAATTTTTAACTTCTCTGCTCAGGGCATTTCTTTAATTAGTAAGCGATATGTCCAATCCCTGTAAATTAAAGCTTTCACAGCTTTTCTGGGTGCTTGTTTACAGGAAAACAAGGAACGCAAACATTTCCCAATGCGGATTTTGCATTAAAACCAGAGTAAACAACTGAATTTGCTGTATTTCTTCTAAACTTCTAAGTGGAGTAATTGAATCTCCTTAAACCTAAAATAATCTTTGTTGATAACAACTATCTTTGACATCAGTTCACTTGAAGGTACAGAGAGAGCGCCAGCTAAGCAGGAGAACTACATTGATAGAAGTGATCTTTGACTGTAGTTTCGGAATCTGTATTCTTTAGTTACATTTCTTGTACGACCCTTTCCCTCTAGCTGACTCTGGCTTGGAAGCATTTGGGCACGATCCTGCTTTTCTTGCGCATCCAAACTCCCATCTAAGTAATTTGTTGGTGTAGGGATTGCAGAATCGGGTCCTTTGTTTAGTTGATATGGTTCAGTGGAGAAAAAGGACTTCAGATGGAGAAAACAGTGCTCCTCTACTTGTCCCAGGACCTTCCCCAAAGATGAGCTGTTATCCTAGCACTGTATTTTACTGTCGCACAGCACTACAGCAATAGGAGCAGCCGAGCTGATAATACTCATTACTTAATTAGTGGAAGGGCTGACCTCTAAGGAAGAAACCTTTCGAATACATTTGTGAATGAATAAAGTAAATTAAACAGTGGAATGGAACATAAATGTATCAAAACCCAAACTCCACTCCTAGCTGTCGGGGGGAGAGTTTCTAATTTTCGCACAATTACCCTGTTCATATTTGGGAACCGGTGATCTTTCTACAGCTAGGGGAGGAAATGTGGACAATGCGTTTGCCTCTGAGATTAAGTAGGAACTCCCCTCGCTTTTGTGCTGATTTCAATTAAAATCTTAATCTCTAAATCCACTCCAGATAAAAATACTTTTGAAAATTCTCTGTACTGAATGGACGCAAACATCTCAAGGCAGAACAACGCGCGTCGTATTATTCGCTAACTGGCTGGGGTTCCAAGCGCTGGAGCTCTCTACAGTGGCTGGCTACGTTATTTATCCATAACCCTGTCTTGCTTTCAGTTCCCGTGGTAGTGCCGGGCTAGCAGCAGTACGTGCTTGGGCGTGAATTGGTCAGACTCTTCCGTTCTAATTAAATGTAGCCAATCTGTGTGTTTGCTTTTCAGACACCCATTTCTATAGAAAGGATCGGCTGTACCCCCGTGTGTGGATCCCGTCCTACCCTCCCCTTGGCGTTGTTGTGGGATTAAAGCAGAGCGGCCCCATACACAAACGCAGCTGGTTCCGTTTGGTCAGCCTGAGACACTTGCTGTGAAACTACGACAAGAATTCCAGTAAGTTGGCAACACTTTCACACAAAGAAAACAACAATAGGAGAAGTCCTTCCGTGCAGAAAGGAATGTTTCAAGCACTGTTCTCCTACAGTGAAAGGAGACAGGGAGGGA